GCAACAACAGTGTGACGAAATGACTCAATGCAAAAAGACGACAAAAGCTTTCTAAGGAGATAAAAGCAGACAGCTCCAACTTAAAAACATTCTTGAAGATGTGGACAGCTGCTTATATTCAGGTGAGCGTATATATGTACTGTATGTAAAATTTAGTTGATGCAGTGTATATTCAGGTGCACTCAATAGTCCAGAATTTACAGTACAAGTCTTTTTGCTTGAATTAATAGTTTTGTAGCAGCAACAGCTAAAAACCAGAGGGAACTACAAAGACCATGATCCATTGCTCAGTTTCAGTGCCATCTAAATGAAAAAATTTGGCACTTTTAAATCATAATTCTTAGGATTGTGACAGAAACAAAGGCTGGTCAAGGTAGTTTAAAAGGAAAAGCAGAATATTCACAATTTGGTTCTCCCCCACAAAAGATGGTTGTGCCGTGAAATTCCGATATTGTTACATCCCTAATAGAAAGCAAGTTAACAAGTTAAAAAACAGTATTCAGAAGTGTTTTTGTTTGTGCGATGAATGAAAACTTTCAGCAACTTTTTTCACGGACAAAGGAGGGAAGAAGTTGCTATCAGAGGGCAGGAAAACAACTTCAGAGCAGAGACTCAGTTAGTATGTAGCACTAGACTCCACTAACCATCACAACTAGAATGACTTTACCACACAGAGCCAAACAAGGCGCCAACATATTCAACTTCCAGTTCGTGCATGACAAAACCACAGCGTTTCGTTATGTTTAGTGATTTAACTTTGAACAATAACAACAGGCTAACAACATCCGCCTGTAAAGTACCGCTTTGGTCCAACTCTTCCCCAGATCCCATTGTTGCCGAGAAAATGCACAGGAGCGATCTGTCAGCAGCTTGGGAACAATCCTCCCGGTGGCTGTAGCGATGTAGGAATGTGGAATGTAACAATGTTAGCCTGTGGGATGAGTCACCTCCGAACACTGAGCGCGCTCTGTTCTGCCCGGCTCCACTGACTATAGGTACACCTCGCAGCACACTGACGAAGAGAAAGAGCTTTTACACAAACTATTACTGCTGGCCAACGCAAAATATTAAAAGATCATCATTCAGTCACTGCATTGGAGTTAAAATCATTTGTATGTAATCATGTTTTTAAATTATGTAAATTCATTCAGGTTTCTCATTCAGGATTCAGGATTCATTCAACGGTTTATTCATTCATACTATACACTATTTATATAATTTTTTAAGGCATGTCTTTATGAAATTAACTCTTTCTCACATGAAGACAACATTTGACGACCCCCGTACCCTTAATGACGTCTTTTGACACCTCCGCTGTATCACTAAAGACGTGATTTGACGACCATTAGAAACGGTTCCTGTTTTTTACATCTAAACAGAGGCTGTGATAGGTGGGGGCCACTACAACCCATACTAGACTGACCAATAGGATTCCAGGATATGTTTTTCCGAAATTAATCAAAGTAGTGATGATTGTAGCTTCCGGAAAAAACATAACGCGAAACACGAGCAATGGAAAGATTGCGGCACTGTGTCACACAGTTTTTGAAATAATGAGGAGCGGACGTATTTTATGGATAAGTTTCGAGAAAGTGACTTTTATAGATTTCAAAGTGATGATGAAGTTGATTATAAAGTGGAAAACAGCGATAGTGACGGACTTTCGGAGAGTGAAACTTACGAAGGTGAGAATGCCAGTGATGCGTCTGTGTGGAGTCCTGCGATATCTGAACAAACTATCCAGGACTTTATACTCGATTATGGACCAAAATTGCCCTGAAATCTGGATGTTGCTCAGACGAGTCCTTTGAAATATTTCAGTCTTTTTTTTCAAGATACGATGCATGACAGAATTGCTACAGAAACAAATGCTTATGCGGAGCTCTACACACGAGAAAGTAGCCAAGATGACAAATGCTGGACACCCACTTACAGGGACGAGTTTTATTATTATATTATTATATTATAATAAGCTAAATGAGTTGAATAAGTTAAATGGAAAAAAACAAATTAGGTCCACACAGGTGTACAACAGGTAAAAACAGTTCTGTATCTGGTGACATGAAATCTGTTTAAATACTTTGACAAATATATTTTTTAATTTTTTTATGAATATAGTACTCAGAACATGCATATATCAGATGCTGAATATAGTTTTTTATTTTCGATTTTGCACCTGACCAGGTAAACTCTCATTTTCAGTGAGCTGTTATAAACCTGTAAATGAGTTGAATCACATTTAAACATCCAGAAATGAAGAGTTCAGAGTCTAAAGTTTCCAGAGATACAAATATGTCTGTTAATGTCATGAGTGTAAAAATCATTTATAACCACTCGTGGAAGTCTGTTTTCTTTTATGCAGTTATGTTCTATGGATAGTCCTAGTCATATATGTATGGGTTGTTCCTAGTGGGCGTCCAAGAGGGAAAGAGTTAAAACTGCAAAGTGTTTTTTTTAAATACAGGACCCCGGGACAGCCTAATAAATACACAAAATAGTCATATTGATCCTCATGCATCACGCTGGGGGTGTTCTGTCTGTATGTTTATGATGGAATGTTCACAAGTTACCATGGAGATAAAATGGACACATTAGCAAACACTGCCAGAAAGTTTGAAAGGTGCGTTGTCTAACTTTTCAAGTAGAGGGTCCATCAAACTCTTTTCTCCATGGAGATGTTCTGCTTGGAATGTTTCACAGTGTGGTATTAAACGTTCTATCTTTGGACACCAAACCAGACCAAGTTACAGGTCAGCTCTGTGGAGAGGCGACCCCGCTCACAGTCAGAATGCCTTTTTTTCAATGTATTTTGAGCTATAAAACCACCTGTAATTCAATAAATGTAAGATAGAGCTGTTTAATGTCATATTGTGGAACATTTTATGCAGAGATAAGACTGTCTCAGACTATCTGAAAACTTAAACAACACATTTTCAGGAGAATGTAATCAATACAAGCGTTCATGGCCTTGTTAAAGCGTTTGATTTTTAACAAAAAGGTGAGAGTGACTACCTAAAAAAAATGGTGTCTACAGTAGCTAGAGCGTGATTGTAATGTTATTTGAGACTTGTTTAACAGCACAACTCATCTCACCTGTTGTAGTTTCAGCTAAGTCAGCTCTTTATGGTCAGACTGTGATAAAACAAAGCTCAGATTTAAGTCTAGAACTAAAGTAACAAACCTCCAGACAGAGCAAAGCCTACAGTTAGCATCACACCCGGGGAATGTTGATGACTAGACCTTCAAGCAGAAATTCAGTCTGATTCAAGCTAGTCAAGAGCATTCAAGTGTAAACCAACACAGTCTGTAAAACTGGACAGATCGTGTACATCATATTCATTCAACTCTTCACCCTATTATCAGGAGTAAAGCTGCACTCTGTAACCTTTTCAAGTGATCTGCCATATGCTTATCTCTATGGAGATTTTATTGCTTTACCTGGAATGTTTCACAGTATTGCCATGGATCTATTAAAATAACTGGATAGGGTATTGCTGCTTGTAGTTGCCTCCAGTTGACATAGTGACATTCACTGGAACTTCAGCGGAAAAAATCCCATGGGCCAAGACAACATTTTTCTCATAGAGGAAATGTAATCACAAACTGCTCGTGTGCGTCTGACAGGGCACCTAAAACTTTCAAAAATGTTGGATTTGTTGGCGATTTTTACCTAGTTTTAGATCATAAACTTTTTCTCAGCTCAAAACCCTTTAGTCGTCTTAAAAAAACGCTTTATAATTGTTAGCTCCGGCTCCGCTCTGCTCTAGCTCCTCTGGTTCGACAGGAAGTACCTCGCCGGTGTGGTGTAGGATTTTGACCCCGTGGTGAGGTGACCCCGGGGTCAACATACCATATAGTATTCTGACCCCGAGGTCAGAATCGTATTATGGGGTATGTTGACCCCTCTTACAATATTGAGCCCCCATGAAAATCTATACTTTATTAATAAACAACTTGAATTCTATAGAAAAACTCTGAATATTAACACTATATCTCCAAATTAAAACATACTGACATAAAAGTGTTTTTTGAAGAACTCAGATGTATTTTTTATGTCAATTATAACTTTTGAATCTTAAAAATGACTTAGTTGTTTAAACACATATTTTACTGAAAATGAGATAAGTAGTTATTAATTAGTTATGTATTTAAAGTGATGTATGATGATTTGGAATCTTGTTAAATATAAATATATGATAAAAAAAGATTTAATAACACAACATGACTAAATTCAAGGTTGTTATTCTTACAAACCATTGCCTAAATTGACATTATGATTAAGGATTATCTGAACATAGCAAACTAAAAACCATAACAATGTCAAATACAATATAAAAAGTGACACGAATGCTATGTATATGCAATTTTAACAATTCCTTACATTTACAAAAAATACCAAGTCCTTCTCCATCAAAACATTCCTTAAAATACCTTAAAAGAAAGTGAATATGTAGAAATATATAATACAAGTAAATGACATGAGAAATAATGATCAGATAAGTAACTACTAAAGAAAAAATAAGGGGAGTAAAAATCCTATTGGGGGTCAATTTACTATAGCGGCATGTTCACCCTGGGGTCAAAATACTATGGGGGTCAACATACTATCTTACACTGAGTTAGGCTAATCTAGAATCATCCTCCATTGAGCTCATTTTGAAATTTTGATACCGCAAGGCCAGGTTACAGATCAGATCTATGGAAAGACAAGACCACTCACAGTACTAATCCAAGTTTTTCTACGAGTTTTTTAAGCAACAAAACACCTGACTGAAACTGAATAAATATAACACCAATACATTAAATCCATACTATAGAACTTTCCAGACAAATCAGGAAACAAGAGGGCCACACCCACCACCAGAAAAGTTCCACAGTGTAGCTTGAAAGACTCTAAAATCAGTGCATTTCCTGGGTTAGATCGTATCTCTCGAGTTAGCCTGTGTAAACGCTCTGCTGGTTAATGTTTGTGAGAATGCTCGGTCAAACTGTGGGGTTACCTAGCAGCTCCTCTGGGTCTTTGACCACGATGTGCGCGTTCAGCTCCTGCAGCTCCTGGTGAAGCTCCTCCACCTTTTTATTGGACTTTTTCAGCATGTTGTCCACGTACGCCAGGCTCTTTTTATCTGTGGTGACCTGAGAGGAAGGGGAGATGTTAGTCAGTCTTAAAAACAAGGAAATCTATTCATACTTTGCGGTGCCATCACGCTGGGGGTGTTCTACACATATCTCTAATGGTGGAATGTTTAGGAATTACCATGGTGAGAAAAAGTGTATGGTCCTGTTTAGGTGTTTGATTTTCAACAAAAAGTGTGAGAGTTGACAATACAATTTAATATTCAAGTTTATGAAGCCAATCCTTAACAAATAATGATAGAATTTTAATATTTCAAAAAAAAAAAAAAAATGTGAATGTCAAACCCGCGATATAATTATATTTGGCCCGCAAGATCATATCAAAAATGTATTACAGCTGGCCCGCCGGCTACAGATAGACTATAGACACATTATTTATTTAAAATGCTGTTATTATTTTATATTTTGCTTGTTCTGGATTCAACATTTAAGCAAAACTGTTATTAAACATTTATTTTAATAAGAAAAGTTTTAACATTACATATCTCAAAAGAAGAAGAAAAATTTCAACGACATCTGCATGTTTTAATAAATATTTAGTTTGGCCCAAGTTTTTAATTCTGGCCTCTGTGAATTTGAGTTTGACTCCTCTGACTTATGAGTTAAATGGGCACCTGGCCTTCATCTGAAATTATGACAACATCAAATTCTAAAATATTTTCCACAACACATCACAAGTTCAACCTAGACCTAGGCCTGTCAAAAATATTGTTCCAACTTTCATGTACTGAACGATAAGTTGATATAGTAACTATTCTGACAGGCCTACCTACACGTAGCTCTGGCTTCTACATCTTTGGTCCACACAACAAAGAAATTATCTTGACAAACATTTTTAAAACATATACATCACAGCAATATTTTCTGCTGCAGACTGTTTGTGTTATTCTTTAAAGGTCCCATATCCTACACAAAATTGATTCTTCTGAGCTTTTAGCCACGTTACAATGTTGCTACCTCCTCAAAAACATATGTGGAGGTGTGTTTTGTTTCATTCATACCATATTTTCCGCACTATAGGGCGCTCTGGATTACAAGGCATACTGTAATTAAATGGTCTATTTTCAAACTTTTTTCACAAATAAACCGCACCGGACTATAAAGGAAACACAACAGTGTGATGGGTCAGTGGGACTTTGTTTGGCGCGTTCACGGTGACTCTGGGCTTTATTCAGTTGTGGCGTGTAGGGAGGGTGCTGTCTGTGGCTAGAAGTGGCACATTACACTCGCTTTTTCGGTTCGTTCCTCCGTTCCGTTCCTCGTCGGCGTGGAGTGATGAGTGTGTCTGTGGGTGTTTTTCGTTGTGCGGTCGCTGTCTGCTCCGTGTGTGTTTGTGTGTTCTGTGGCTTTGTAGTTTACTGAAGTCGTGCTGGGACACCCGAGTGGATTTGTGTATAGGGCGCTCTGGATTGTGGGGCACACATTTGTTTTTTGATGGGGTTGGAGGCTTAAGAGTGAGCCCAGTAGCCCGGAAAATACGGTACATGTTTGACTAATCCTTTATTATTAGTCTGTTTACATCTCCAAAGCCCAAAATGCCCTATTCCACCTTGTGATGTCATTTGTTACGTTTAGATCGGCAATTCCAGTACAAAATCTTCAAAATAATTCTAGTGAAGGTGTATGGAGTTTAAAAACACAGTGGAGCACTTCCTGTATGTGTTGTATAGAGGATTTTCCAAGGAACGAGAAATCCAGCGACTGTTTGTCCTTTTTCAAATGTTGCGCATGCGTGAAACCACCCCCCCTCCCCTACAGCTCCTACGTAGAAACGCCTCCTCCCTCCTCCTCCTTTACGCCAGAAACAGGTTTGTTTACAGCCGGTGCGCTGCACATGACTTGTAAACAACTAACTACAGTGTTGGTTAGGCAAGACGGAGAAGTGAGGAGCGGGGGGAGCGGGTGTGGCGGACATTTCGTTCGCGGACGAGAAGTGAGGAGCAGGGAGAAGAGCGGAGCAGGGAGCAGGGAAGGAGAGAGGAGCGGGGAGCGGGGAGCGGAGATTCCGTGCCCGGAGAAGTGAGGAGCAGGGGGAAGAGCGGATCGGGCAGCGGGGACAGGAGCAGGAAAGGGGTGCAGAGAAGGGTGCGCGGAGATTCAGTGCGAATGAACTAGCTACAACACGCAGCAGCAGCAAGACTCTTTCTTTGCCTTGAAAATTACGTTTTCAGACATAGGATATCGCTTTCGTGTCCTGAAAAACGTTTGTCTAGCTCTTGGAAATAAAGTACGTTTTCATAATAAGCAGAAGTGACCTGTCCAGGAGTAATTTGGCGACCAGTGCGTCAGTCTTTAGACCCTTCGTCTGCTTCAGTTGCGCCATCACTGGAATGAATCTTCAGGAATCACCTTAGTTTGGCTTCGCTGCTTTTCCCCTTGTCTTCTTCTTTCAGCAATCTCAAAAACAGACTTTCTTTTGCGGCTAACTGCTCCTGGATTCTTGTCTGCCATTGCAACAAACTTTGTGCGAACTGCGAGGAAGATATAGGTCAAAAAAAGCCGCTAAGAACTGTTGCGTTGGTGGAGTAAACAGCGTCTGTGCGGCTTGCGTCTGTGGACTGCGTGACAGTCGTACGTAAACCACGTACCGGCGGCGCGCAGGCAAGTCAGTTACGCTAGAAACGTAGGGAGTTTGATTGACAGCCTGTCAGCTAACAGATAACGAGGCAGTGTCGTTATCTATTGGCAAATGTTTAGCCCCACCACGTCCAGAGTTGATGAATTTGTATTCTCTTTTTTTTGGTCATCATAATTACAAGGCTACTGCACCTCTATAATGCTATCATTGACAACTTGAAACAAAAAAAATCCTCCATACAACCTTTAACACATGACATCACAAGGTAGAACAGAGTTTTGTGTGAGAGAACAACTAAGCCTGAATCTGCAGGGTTTGTGTGTTAAACATGTGAATGAAGCAAAACACAACTCCAGGTCTGTTTGTGATCAGAAAATAGCATAATATGGACTCTTTAAATGTACCTTTCGCAGGTTTTCCGCTCCCTCCTTGATCTTGAGTTCTTTGCGGATCTCTCTGCGGATCTGCTCCTTGATCTCGTCCAGCTTCTGTTGAACCATGGTGTCAGACAGGTCCAAGTTATGGCCCAAACCAAGACGCTCGGCTACCATCTGCCCCCGAGAGTCCCCCTGGAAAATGACAATAAAACAACTGTTCATAATCATAAACAACTGTCCGCCCAGCCAGTCCTTTCTAGCCTGATTCATCAGCCAGTTTCACTTTGTAGAAACCGTCTGACCTCACAGTGTTAGAATTTGTTTGCTCGACGGTAGGTGGGTACTATTTATAATTTAGCCAATCGTTGCTATTTGGTCGTGATGTATGTAATGCGCCGCTAATGGGGATAACTGTTATATTAAGCTTTTCCCAAATCCTGTAGGAAGAAGGACAATAACGTTTTTCCGAATGACAAAATTCACCAAAAATTCTCTTCTCGGGAACAACACAGAATGTCTTCGCTGATTGGCTGGTGCCTGAACTCACACTTCTGGGGTTTTCGCGAACAATCTAGTGTATTTTGATTCCTGACCTAGTCACTGGAGAGAAATGAAATTGAGCGGAGGCACTAGGTGGCGCCGGCCTGGCTAAGTCCTTTCTACATTCTGTTCAAATCCAGAAGGGACTGGGACTGGACCATAGCGAGTGAAAGCCATCTGTCCAAACTTGAGACGGTCCAACCACAGCTGCTCATTTGTATCACGTGTCCTCTCAAAAATTCTCGTAACATTCAGATCAAAATAATAAAACTTCTTTTACCTAAAATAAGTAATAGCTTGGTGCTTCGATTGTTGATTCTGTAAAAATCCACACAGTTTCTCTGTCCTTTATGTACATTTTTCTCCTTTGTTAATATGTAAGCAGCAAAGTTTGTTTTTGACGTGGACAAAGCATGCGTCTCTCTGATTGGTTAACCCGCCTGTCAATCATATGCTCTGAAACCAGGATGACAGGATACAGCTCCAGACACTCGTCTTTGTAAAGTTTTTTCAAAGCGCGCGATTCTGTCTATCTCGGTAACACACTGTCAAGAGGATGAGCCTGTTCTTCTGGGGCTGCACAATTAATTATCAAATCAAGATCTCAATTCCAGTTAATACAATAATCACAAGGCTGTAATTATTTAGATATAATATAAAAGAAACAGCCTGTGTATGGAAAAATCTTGTTGTACCTGTTTAGTTCTCTACAAACTTGTTCTGAAATGCACGGGATTCTTGTATTAGTTTATAGATGAGTTATATATGAGTTAATATTTGAGGCTCCTGGGGTTGTTTACAATGTGCACTCAAACAAAATCCTACTTTATAAAAAATATGTTGCAAATTTCATCAGAAAAATCTCAATTATTTTCCAATATCGTGCAGTCCTGCTCTTTCGCAACTCAACTGTTTATTTTATACTTATTTTATTTAAGTCTCTCCGTATTTAAATGTGCATTTTGTTACTTTTTTCGTGGCGGTCCATCAAATGCTTTTCTCCATGGAGATGTTTGATGATTGCTTTGACAGGAATGTTTCACAGTACGGCATTAAACCTTTCAGTCTTCATGGAGACTAAACCAGACCAAGTTACAGGTCAGATCCGTGGAGAGGTGACCCTGCTCACAGTCAGAATGTCTGTTTTTCTAGGTATTTTTGAGCTATCAAACCATGAATAATATCTGAACCACTGAGGGATTACACACATATTAAGGCCACATGGTAATCGTGTTACTTTCTTTTATATTAAATGTTGAAAATAGTCTAAATAAAGAACGTTTTCTAATACAATCATTGTGGTATCGATTATGAAACTAAGGAAAAGACTCGATACTCAATATTGATTCAGAGTTTGAATTTATACAAGCACAAAACTGAAACTGTAACTTCATTTTTCATATGGTTTACATCTTGCAGAGAACTGAAAGATAAATTGCAATTACACAGTGACAATTACAAGAAACTGCAATTATGATGTTAGAAATATGATTTGTAGAAAACAAAATATTTGGTCACTAAAACCTGCCAAACGTGAACTTTAGACCTTTACAAACATGTGGATCTACAGGTCAGTATCGCTTCTCTGAAACACTAATGCTCCAGGACATACTGGTCAGGAAAGAGTGTAAAATTAAGAAAATGTCTGTTACTATGGAAATCTGCCATGTTTGTGACAGTAGTGCAAAATTTTCATGAAGATATATTAGCCAAAACAATGTTAAAAAGTGAAGAAAAGTGGTAGAACTGTAATTAACTTTTCAGGTGGAGGGCCCGTCAAATGCTTTTCTCCATGGAGATGTTATTGTTTTTTCTATGGTATAGCATTAAACCTTTCAATCTTCATGGAAACCAAACCAGCTCAAGTTACAGGTCAGATCTGTGGAGTGGCGACCCCACTCACTGTCAAATGTCTTTTTCTAGGTATTTGAGCTGTAAAACGACCTGTAATTGAACCAAAAAAGTAAAGTAGAGCTGTTTAATGTCACACTGTGGAACATTCCAGGCAGAGCAATGATATATCCATAGAAACATGCAGATAATGCACCCCAAACCAGAAAGTTACACAGTGCACCTTTAAAATCTCCAATGATTTAATATTAGACTGGAGGTGTGACAATCTCAAGCTCTATTCAAAATGTACACAAATTTGGAAGTGCAATTTATTTCTTATAATACTGAAACCAAACCATACAGCAGAATTATCATCATAAAACTATAGCCTGATTCATCAGCCGGTTTCACTTCGTAGAAACCGTCTGACCTCGCAGTGTTAGAAGTCTTTCCCTCGATGGTAGGCGGATACTTTTTTTATTTAACCAATTGCTGTTATTTGGTCGTGATGTATGTAATGCTCCACTAACGGGGTTAACTGGTATATTAAGCTTTTCCTAAATCCCATAGGAAGAAGGACAATAACGTCTTTCTCCTTGATAAAATTCACCAAACATTCTCTTTAAAGCTTTAAATCCTAAATGTCAGGAATCACTGCCAACACAGAATATATGACTCTTCACTGATTGGCTGGTGCCCGAACTCGCATTTCCGGGGTTTTTCCGAACCGTCTAGTGTATTTTGATTCCTGACCTAGTCGCTGGAGAGAAATGAAATTGAGCGGAGGCACTAGGTGGCGCCAGCCTGGCTAATAAAACTATTCTAAATGTAAATAAATTGCAGAATAATACACTGAAGTAGTTTGCATCTATGTCATAAAACTTCATAATTCAACCTTCTATAGCTCAAATTTCATTGCAGTACAGAAAAATCACCAAAAATGTCTCAGTAGTACAAACAAAAAGTACCCATGATCAAAACTGACATAAAAATGATTACTTCATCTATCATGTTTCACAAATGAAGTTGCAAAATATTTTAAAACTGCAATCATTATTATTTTTCCTAACATTATAGAGGCTTAAAAGGTGCACTGTGTAACTTTTTGGTTGGGGGTCTGTCACCTGCTTGTTTCTATGGAGGCGTCATTGCTCTGTCTGGAATGTTCCACAGTGTGACATTAAACATCTCTATCTTACATTTATTCAATTACAGGTGGTTTTATAGCTCCAAAACACACTCCACAGATCTGCCCTGTAACTTGGTCTGGTTTGGTCCCCATCAAGACAGAAACATTCCAGACAAAGCAATAACATCTACATGGCAAAAAGCGTTTAACGGGCCCTCCTCCACCAGAAAAGTTACACAATGCGCCATTAATAACCCCCCCGGCTCTACCCCCCGCGCTCCCGTTCACCGCTGACCTCCTTTAAGACGTCACTTTTACTAAAGACGGATTAGAGGCCACTTCCTGAATGGATTTAAAGTGGCCATCAGATACTGTAGAGCTTAGGCTGTCAGTGTGTGCGCCGTTCAACAAGTCACCATCAGGACCTAGAACTTTGGTCAAATACTGAAAAATACACAACATATAGTTATTATTAAGTGTATTACAATTACACAGAGATAACCAGATGTCTTGTTTTGAGTGTTATAGCAAAGGCCGGTGTGAGATAGTATTTTGACCCCGGGCTCAACATGCCGCTATAGTAAAGGGTTTTGACTCCTCTTACTTTTTTCTTTAGTAGTTACTTACATACAGGGGTGGGCATTCGATGAAATTTTCTTAATCGATCGTCGGAAGAATTAACGATCGATTATCGATTAATCATTAACGTTTTTATATTAAAATTATCATCATTATTATTACTATCTGCACTACTAATCTGCATAAATAAATTCAACTTTATGACATATAAACCATAACCACTCTAGAGTCGATTAAAATGAACGTAACTGAATCATGAACGACTAATCATGCCCATCCCTACTTACATGATCATTAATTCTCATGTCATTTACTTTTATTATATATTGCTACATATTCAGTTTCTTTTAAGGGATTTTAATGAATGTTTTGACGGAGAACGACTTGGTGTTTTGTGTAAATGTAACGTATTGTTCAAATTGTATATACACAGCAATCTTGTCACTTTTTATATTGTAGTTTACATTGTTATGGTTTTTAGTTTGCCATGTTCAGATAATCCTTAATCATAATGTCAATTTCGGCAATAGTTTGTAACGATAATGATCTTGAATTTAGACATGTTGTGTCATAATAAACATTTTGGAGGGTCAGATTACTATAGTCATTAGGTTTCCCCTATTTAACTATCAGCCCTGTCTATTTGAACAAGATTCCAAATCATTATACATCACTTTGATGACCTAACTCATTAATAACTACTTATCTCATTTTCAGTAAAATATGTGTTTAAACTAAGTAATTTTTAACATTCAAAAGTTATAATCAACATAAAAAATGCATCTGAGTTCTTCAAAAATACACTTTTAAATACGTCAATATGTTTTCATTTGCAGATATAGTATTCATATTCAAAGTTTTTCTATAGAATTCAAGTTCTTTATTAATAAAATACAGATTTTCATAGGGGGATCAACATACCATAATAGGATTCTGACCCCGGGGTCAAAATACTATATGATATGTTGACGCCGGGGTCACCTCACCGCGGGGTCAGAATCCTATACCACACCAGCACCATAAGAGGATTTTAGTGCAGTTCAAAATAGTTACAAAAAATTAAATATAGCTGCAATACATTATTAGGGATGGGACACAACTTCCACAAGAT